GACGGAGTCTCATGTATTCCTTGTTATCCTGAACTCACTATATAGCAGAGGATAAACCTGAACTTCTGAAGCCTCCGTCTCTTGCTGGGATTTCAGGTGTGTGGCACCACCCTTGACGTATTTTGGTGCTGAGGTTTGAGCCCAGGGCTTCCTGTATACTGGGTAAGATCTCTGAGCCACGTCACTGTCCCAAAGGCCTGATTTTGAAAGCTGCTACTTGACTTGCTGATGTGTTCCATTTTAAAAGGTTAAATGAACTTTGGCTTGGTGGATGTGATGGTTTGCAACTCAAGAGGACCTAGAATCATGCAGGAAAGGATCCTCAGGGCATACCTGTGGGATTGGTCTTCATTAGGATAACTGAAGTAGGACCCAGGATGATAAGAGGAGAAAGTGACCTGAAGACTAGTGTGCATCTCGGCTTTCTCACTGCACGTGCAAGGTGAGGATCTGCCTCACGCTCGGATCCTGCGAGCCCAAACCATGCCTTCCACAGCCACACGAAACTACTAGTCTAGTACTGGTTAGGACAGACTGGCCACAGTTTCTGAAATAGGCCTCTTCCAGTTTGATCAGTTGCTGTGAGATAACATGACTAAAAGCAACTTAGGAAGGAAAGGTTTGTTTGGTTTACATTCTGTGTCACAGACCATCACAGGAAAGAGAGCAGGAACCGAGGCAGAAACCAGGAGCAATGCTGACGACGGGCTCCTCTCCTGGCTTATGCTCAGCTCCTTACAAAGCCCAGGAGCACCTGCCTGAACTGTCCTCGGTGGACCGCGCCTTCCTACATTAATTACTATCAAGACAGCTGTCCCACAGACATGACCACAGGCCAAGATGATAAAAGCAATTCTTTTATTTTTTGTCTTTTTGAGACAGGGTTTCTCCGTGTAGTTTTGGTGCCTGTCCTGGAACTCGCTTTGTAGACCAGGCTGGCCTCGAACTCACAGAGATCCGCCTGCCTCTGCCTCCCGAGTGCTGGGATTAAAGGCGTGTGCTACCACTGCCCGGTGTAGTTTTTTCAATTCTTCAAAAACATTTTTTTTTTTGAGATTTTATTTTTGTGTGTATGTTTGCCTGAATGTACATAGTGCACCACGTGTGCCGTCCCCACAGAGGCCAGACGAGGGCGCTAGATCCCTTGGGACTGGAGTTACAGCCAGTTGTGAGCGGCCATGGCGGGTGCTGGGAATCGAACCCACCCAGTTTCTCTGGGACAGCAGCCAGTGTCTGCACCACTGCCCCTCTGCAGCTGGGACGGCCGCTTCCAGGTGACTCTAGGTTGTGTCAAGTTGAGAAACTGACCAGGCTCCATCTGCCATTCTGTACTACATATTTATGTGAAGCAGTATACTCAGCATTGACGATTATGAAATCAAGACACTAATTCTGAAAAATACTGAAGAGGGTCTACATTGTAAACTATCAAATATCCAGCTAAGAAATATATAAAAATAAATCCATCTCATTGATAGGAAAAATTCTTTTTTTTTTTTTTTTTTTTTTTGAGACATGGTCTCATTATGTAGCCTTGGCTGGACTGGATGCCTCAATCTTTATTAAAGAATTTTAGGGCTGGAGAGATGACTCAGGGGTCAAGAGCACTGGCTGCTCTTCAGAGGTCCTGAATTCAATTCCCAGCAACCACATGGGGGCTCACAACCATCTGTAATGAGATCTGGCGCCCTCTTCTGGTGTGCAGGCATACATGCAGAACACTCATACATAAAATATAAATACATAAAATTAAAAAAGGAATTTTATTTAAAAGAAGTTTCTTGGGCTGTTGAGATGGCACACAAATGCATCCGGGTGCCCTGCACCAAAGCTGGGTGCAGTTATGAGGGCCTGTAACCCCACACTGGGGAGGCAGAGGCAGGGGAACGCCTGGACTTGCTGGCGGGCCTGTATGACTGAAATGGCAAACTCCAGGTTCTGTGGAGAGGGACTTAGATAAACACTCACCACTGAACCCTGGTTCACATGTACCTGGCACACACACATACACAGCTACAGATTTGTGATTTCCAGTAAATGCTTGATTTGCATCGTTCATGTTCTGTACATGCAGGCCATGAATTCAGCGGAAGAAGTTTGTGAGAAAGTTTAAGAAGCCCTGTGAGTTGTCATGGTGCGTGTATTTAATCCCAGCAGAGGCAGACAGATCTCTGTAAATCTGAGCCAGCCTGGTCTACATAGTGAGTTCCAGAACAGCCAGGGCTATGCAGAGAGACCCTGTCTCAAACAGCCTTAAAGGAGAAAAAAAAAAGCCCCGTGACAGGCTCCTGACTAGACTGGCCTCTTGTCTCTAGTCTGGTAATCCTTCCAATGCGCTACTGTCCAAAGTTTTTTTGCTAGCAAAAGCTTTCTTCTTTTATCTTAGTATTTTGAGAGTGTCTTTTGTAGACCAGACTGCCCTCCAGTTCACCCTATAGTCCAGGCTGGCCTTGAACTCCTGATCCTCCTGCCTCTACTCCTGCCCTGCTTTAGTTTTGTTTGTTCCTTCTGAGACAGGGTCTTACTGTGTAACCCAGGCTGGCCTTGAACTCCCCATCCTCCTGTCTATGCCCCTCCAGCTCCTGGCCGACCTGACTCGTTCCTTCACTTAAACCCTTTCGATGACTTACACTGTGTAGACTGAAGCCGGCCTTGCTGAGGCAGGCCTTCCACACGGCCTCTGCCTCCCCTCAGCTCCAAGTGCTTTTCCTTTCTGGCTTTCACTGGTGGTTGACTTCCTTAAGGCCCCATATGCCCAAGAAATTCCTACGTGTCTGCAAAAGTTCAGTTCCAATAACTCCTCTAAGACACTCCCAGACCACTAGTTTGGATTGGGTGTGCCCGGTCTCTCGTCTCAGAAGCCCAGTTTCTGCTGGCTCTTCTGTCTCCTGTTCCTAGGAGAAATAGGAACCAACTGATTCGGTTCTGTTCTTGTGTAGACCTAGACTCCAAGGAAGAGCATGGACTAAGCCTGGAAGGGGGCTTGTGTGGCCCTTTGAAGGCCTTTCTACTTTATGTGGTAAGCTGTGGGGGACCATCAAGGGGTCAGTCAGATCATCAGCAGGGCCCAAGATGGGAGGCTACTTTGGAGAAGGGCAGGCAGAAGCGAAAGGAGAGAGACTGACTCTGTTAGCACTGTTGCATAAGAACAGCCAGCAAGTGTCAGGAGTAACAGCACACTCTGGACCGTGCCGAGTCCAGAGGGCTCCGTGTGTGTCACACTATCATGCTTCAGTCGGGGCTCCATGACTGAGGGGAAAGTCACTGCACTGGTCAGGACAGGACACTGGCAGCGCGGGTTTCATTTCTATTCACATAAAGCTCCCCCTGGTGCTATCAGCACCCTGAGGTGACTTAGCAATCCAGGCTCTTCTACATATGTATGTGTATGGATGTTTCCCCTGCATTCCTGCCTGTGCACCACTGGCATGCAGTGTCTGTAGAGGCCAGGAGAGGGCGTCAGACCCCCAACCCAGGCTGCTTTGATCCGCGCGGCACTTCACACTGACATGCCTGCTCTTCCACAAGGCTCAAGACAGGGAAACAGCACTTGGAGGGGCGGGGATTACCTGTGCTTCAGAAGGGACACACATTACAGCTCATTAGTCCATTGGCCAGAACCAGCCCCAAGATCCCACTGAACCACACAGGGACTGAGGAAACACCAGGAGAGGAACAGGAAGTCTCTGTGAACAACAGGAAGGCTTATCCCGATACCTTCTAGGAAGGAAGAGCAGGCCAGTCTGAGGCAGATGGGAGAGGCACTGAGCAGAAAGATTCTGTGAAGCATTTGCCTTGTGAGGTCACCTCGGAGAAGAAGCCCTTCCCATGGCCATGGAGGAGCTGGGCAGTACATCTTACCCGTAGGTCCGTCCTTCCCTGGAGCAACTTCTGGAAAAGTTAGGCAGCTATACTGCTGGAGGAGATGACCTCATTCAAATGGCAGCTGGTAGGAGGTCATGAGTCCTTGGCATGTGGGCTTTTCACAGGGCTGGTGTAAGCTTAATACAAGGGCAGGTAACAGGAGCAGCAGAAGCCACACTTCCCATTCAAAAGGACATACCATTAACTGCCTTCCTCTATTGGTCTCTCAGTGTGGTAACAACAGCATGGATGCAGGGACAGTGGGAGGCCACTGTGGAAGCTGCTGGCAGCCTCTGGAGGACGGTGATATCTTTTTCTTTTAGATAGCGTCTCATAACCCTATGGAGCTGAGGATGACCTTGAACTTCTGATTCTCCTGCCCATACTTAAAATTACTAGTGTGTGCTACTATGCTTTTACGTGGTACTAGAGACTGAATTAGGCAAGCATTCAATCAACTGAGCTACAGCCCGAGCCTAGAGGACAATATCTTATTAACCCTTCCTTAGTCAGGACAGCATCTCTTTGCCACTGCTGAGGAAGATGTGAGGTGCAATCCAGTGACCTTGTGAGAAAGCCGGGGCCACCACAGATGGTAAGTATTTTGCAATATGGAAATCTGAGGCTCGGGGACACTCTGTGCCTTGCCTGACTTGACTCCTGTCCTCTCACAGCAACCCCGTCAGGAGACCGGACCAGTCTAGCCACCGAGCAAAGGCCCTCACTCACTCTGCTGCTTCAGCACATGACAAGGACCAGGTGCAGAGCAGTTTCTCAGGCTTCCACAGCTGCCGAATCTGCTGACGGCCTGGCGGTGCTGTGAGGAGGGGCACCGGAGGATTCTGAAGGTGGGCTCCACCTGGCTAACTGTACCAAGGGACGTCAGCTAAGAAAGACTTCCAGTGGGAAGCCTGGCCCGAACCCTAGGAACATTCATTTTTCCTGTTTGCCGGGTCCCTTTCAAGGCTTCTACCTGGCCCGCCTCTCCACAGTCCTGGGGCTGCCTCTACCTTAAGAGTGCCCGAGGAGCCTGGCATCACTCCCTCACAGCCTGTCCTCCGATAATCACTCGCTCTGCCAGGGACACCAGGTCTTCCTCCCCCTACTCGCCGCACCAAAGAAATCCAAACCCAAGCTGAGGTATCAGAAACGTGTTCCTTTTTCTTTTAATAGTAAACCTCTTTACAACAAATATAGTGAAAGACTTTTCAAACCAAACTCGTAAGAATCTCGAGGACTTTGTCTCTTCTTAATGTGCAGAATACTAGAAAGCATCACCGTACAGCACAGAAATAATGGAAACAATTCAACAGCCACACACTTGGACTCACCCTGCCCCAAGACCCAGGAGCCAGGAGTGTGGGTGATTGTCAAGTTTGGGGATGGGCCACCTCTTGGCTGGCCCCACCCCTCCTACTTCCCTCTGTCCGGGACGTGAACGGGGTAGAGAATTCAGATCCTCCTTGGGAATCTTGGCCCTCCTGCCCCATTACGTCCCATCCCTCTGCTAAAGCAGGAGGCGGAAGGGGGTAGAGCAAGGGGCGCCCAGCCTCCAGGAGAGCTACATTCCCCCACAGGGGGTTCCAGAGTCGGTTAAAAATAGAGAGAGAGAGAGAGATTCTGAGATACGTTTACATCATTTCTGTCTCTCCAAACAAATAAATAATCAGCAAGAGAAGGTGCATCTTTCTTCTTTCCTGTCCAAGGTGGGGAGGGGTGGTTGAGTGCACTGACGGGGGCTGAGGGAATGTGTTCCACTGAGGCATGTGGGGATGGCCCTCGGTCCCACTATCCCTGAAAGCTGAGGGAAACCTGGGTGGGAAGGGCACTGGATGACGCCAGAGGCTACTTTGGCAAATACCCAGTTTTGCGGAGGGAGTGGAAAGGAGGCAAATTTGGCTTGTGAGAGGAAGAAGAGAAGTCCTCATCTGAGGTCTGGGTTCCCAGGGATCCATTTACCTGGCCAGCCAGAAGCCCCTACATAGCCCCAGGAGAAACCCGGAGATACTGAACTGCAGAAACGCCACATACTCATTCACAGACTGTCCCTACTGTTAGGGACAGAGATGAGAACACACACACACACACACACACACACACACACACACACACACACACACACACGGCAATCAGAAGCCAGGCTTGCTTTCGGGAAGCAGATGGCAAACTGCTGAGTGGCACACTGTGAACTTCGGGGGCCTCACCCCAGCTGTGTGTCATGGCGGCCAAGCTCAGCCTAGAAAGGTGGGCCTGAGAAGAGGCCAGTGATTCCATATTTATTGAGCACCTATCATTCACCCACTCACCATTTACTGAGGGCCTACAATGTGCCAGCTGCTTTCAAAGGGGGTGTATGCGCACAGGACTACACCCTGGCTTCTTTCAAGGCCTTAAACAAGTCTTCAGACTCCCTCTAGGAACTGTGAGGAGGGGTGGGAAGACAAGGCATGTACGTGACACCCTTGCCTGGTCAGCTACTGGAGTAAGACTCCGGGTAAATATGGAAAGCAAAGCTCCCAGGAGGAAGAGGAACTTGAGTCTGCTCCACAAACAAGTCAGAACTCCAGGGCCAGAACTGGTCTGGGTGGGACTAGTGGACAGCCATATGGAGGCAGAGCTCCTAGAGTGAGGCCCTGGTGGAGGTAGGCTGTGGGGAGAAGCAGGATGGCCAACTAGCAACTCCCTATAACTTTAGTACAAATGTTTCAGGACTGAGAGCAGCCCAGGGAAGCGAGGAGTGAGAGCCACGGCTGGAAGCTACCTATCCCTGTGTGAACACACCCAGCCACCCAGACACAGAGGCCCTTGGAGCCTGAGTCACACAAGATCTGAGAACACACCCACTGGACTCAGAGGCACTCAAAGGTACACCCACACAGCTGCACACAAACACATAAACTCAGGGTGCACCCAGATCCGCCCGCATGAGCATGCTCACACCCTCTGCTGCTGGCTCCTTCCCTGCAGCAAGCATCAAAATACTTGGAAAGGCTGGGTCACAGGTGGGCCAAGACATCTTCCTACAGCACTGAGCCTTGTCTTACTCTACCCTCCAACTGGGAGGAAGCTCCAAGGGAGTGTGTGCTGTCTCCGTCCCCTTCCTGGGGGAGGAGGCAGAGGGAGGGTGGTGACAGAGAGCAGGCCGGAGAGCAGGCCGGGGGTGTTCTGTTCCCTCCAGTTTGATCTCAGATTCAGCAAGAGGCCCAAGGGCCCGATGCTTGCACTGCCCCGGTGCTTGCCTGAGGCCCCTGAGGAGGCGACAAAGCACAGGTCTGGAGAGGAAGGCAAGAAGAAGAGCAGAAGAATCCCATCTGTACAGTACGGGCCATTTGAGTCATTATTATTACAATATACTTTGACAAAAATAGAATCTCATTTCATATCAATACAACAACAACAACAACAACACAACAGTTTCCTGGACTGTTAACCACTAACATTTTGGAAGGTCGCTATTTACAATTACAGTAGCAAGAGGGCAGGTTTGGGGCGTGGCCTGGAGGTGGAGGGACAGGAGGTAGCGAGACAAGGAGCACGCGAAGAGCTGGGAGGTGGTCAGGGGCAGGAGCTGACTGGGGAGGGGCCGCAGGGGCCTCATCTATCGGGACCTCTAGCTCCACAGACCATGCTGTGTGCCCAGTGTGCACTTTTCTGGGTATGGGTACACAAAGCAGAGGTGCCCTCCCCATGCCCGCCCCTGACCGGCCTCCGGCCCTCAGTGCCCCAGGGAACCAAAGGCTGACTCTGGCCCACCCTGGGGCCACTTCTGAAGGTCCTCTCCCCAACTCTTCCAGTACATGGCCAGCTTTCTGGGGTTGGGGTAGGCTGAGGGGTGGGGAGCTATTGCACTGTACATCTTAAAGGGGAAGCCAGGGGTAGGGTCCCGAGTCACCACACAGTCCTGCCTGCATCCGCCCTCTTTCTACAGCTATCTCTCTCATGTCACTTCCAGAGAGGTTCCTACCTCAAGCCCCCGCCCTGGCCTCAGATTCCCAGGCAGCCTTCCTAGCACCCAGATCTTGGGGTGCAGCACACAGAATCAGAGAGTGTAGCGTGTCTGCAGGAAGCTGGAGGGACCGAGATGGGTATTTGCTGTGAACAGCCCAGAAGCAGAGTTTCTGCCTCTTCCTGTCCCTGAGACGCAAACCCATCCAGCCAGCTCCAGGGTCTCAGTCCACTGTCCGGGTTTTTGTTGTTGGATAGTTTTTGGTTCTTTATGTCTATCTGGGAATGGGATGGGAGGGCTCCACATGCAGGGCTCGGCACCTGTCCTTCTCCAAGGCCTACCGCCCCCCCTTCCTGCAGCATATGTGTACAACGTGCAAAGTGTCCCCCCCCCTTTCCCGCAATAAAGAGAGTTCCCCACCAGTGAAAATGGTGGGGCCAAGAAAGGGGCAAGAGCAACCCTCTCTCTAAAGCGAGAATTCGAATTTAAAAATATAATAATAATAATAATAATAATAATAATAATATAATTATACACAAATGTAACCATCAACAGGACATGGAGCAGAAGAAAGGAAGTGGGGGGTCGAGCGGGAGGAGCCCAGGGCAGGGAGGGGTGGGCGGTGAGATTGTCAACTCTTCATCAGGGAGGCTGAGAGGAGGGAGTGGGAACCGTCACTTTAATGTCTGTGAAGAGAGGAGATGGAGAAGGTGATGTGAGGGGCAGCGTGGCCTATAGGATGCACCCCAACCCTCTCCCAAGGGATTAAACTCTGGGGCAAGGCCAGCTGGAGGTCACTGAGCGGGGACAATGGTGCAGGGAGGGTCCAGGGCTGTGAGTACTGACCCAAAGGAATGCCTGGCCACAAGGCCTCTCAGGTGGGAAAGAAAGCAGGCTGAGTGCATGTGGGGCAGTCCCTGGGTGACTGACGCGGACACCGGCAGACAGAAGGGCAATACTACAGTACCCAAGTATCCAGCCGCATCCTCTTCACAGCTGAGCCGTCAGCCTCAGGCTCTGGGGCTGGGCGCAGCAGGCCCAGTGTGGGCCCAAAGTCCCCCCGTCCATCATCCCGGTCCCCGGTCTCATAGGGTCCTCCAGCTGGGCTGCTGAGACCTTCGCCAGGCTCAGGGCGGGCAGCTGGAAACACAGCTGGCGGAGGAGGTGCAGGGCTGCGCTCGCGGCTCGGGGACACTGGTTCTGACTTGATGCTGATGTGGGGGTGCGTGGTGACGGTGAGAGCAGCACCCACATGGGGCAAGGGGCTGCCTGGGCTGGAGTTCAGGGGTCAGAGACACAAGAGGCAGTAACAGAAAGAGTGGGCAGAAGTCACCAGACACAGGGTGAAAACAAAGAATGAGAGCAGGAAGTCGGGAGAAGAGGGAGACGGTGTCAAGGGGAAGAAGAGAAATGAGCGTTAGCTCCACTCTGTCCACACCGTCTTCCACAGCCCACACCCTCACTCAGCCCTGCTGCCACTTCCTGAACAACTCCAAGGAGACCTGCCCCTCGCCCCCCACCATGCCCGTGGGAAGCGCCCCAAAGACTCACATGAGGTTGCTGAGAGACACGGGGACCAAGTGGGGCTGTTGCTGAGGTGGCTGCTGTGGCTGTGGCGGCTGTGGCTGTGGCTGTGACTGTGGCGGCTGTGGCTGTTGTGGCTGCTGGGGCTGCTGGGGCTGTTGCCAGGCGGTGACATTGCCTAGTGCCAGCCCCGCAGGTGAGCTGAAGGCTGGTAAGGAGGATAGCTCTGCACTGGGCAGCTGGTAATCTGCAGAGAGAGCGAGGGAGGCACCTGATGGGGAGCACTTCACCCAGCCCTCTGGGGGAGGAGAGTGGTGTCTAACCACAGAAGGGAAGAGAGAAGACATTCAAGGCACCGCTTTCCCTAACAGGGTGAGAGGACAAGTGGGTTTTAAAACGGCATCTGTTTAAAGAAGCAATCAAGTACTGCTTTTACAAGGACAGTTACAAAAAGACATGGGGCAGGGCAATGAGAAGGCCTGGTTACAGCCTAACTGCAGTCTCTGCCTGCCCAGCATCGGCAGCGGAGAGGCAGCGGGGGGTTCTGGGAGCACACTGGCCACAGGTACCCCCCTCCGGCCCTGGTCCCACAAGTCTAGACTCTCCCAGCAGGGCTCAAGCTGCTGCTCACACAGACAGAAGAAACGGGTCTACAAAAAGGGGCTTCAGGGCTGACATTGCTGGGGACATTGCTTTGTCTGGCTCTGTACGAGCACTGATGTTAATTAAGGAAGACACTGTGACATCTGCCCTGTAAGTGACCAGTTAAGCACCTCACCTTTCCCACAGCTCTAGCGCCTCATGCTGCATCCTATCTGAGGTATTTAGAAATGCCTTCCATAGAGCCACAGGGATGTGTGCACAGTGGGAGGACATGCTAGGAAGAGATGGACTGTCCAGTCACCCCAACCTATGTTCCACAGCCCTGTTTGTGCAGGAAGATGGTTTGACCTCTGCAACATTCCCAGCTGGAGCCGAGGAGAGATTCTTGGCACCCGCCACTCACAGTGGTCAAATACTGTCTACAGCAGGGCAGCAATGGCCCTGGGTTCCTGTGAACACTCCACGATTCACCCAGCACCACTGCGCACAGGAGACAGGTGCAGCCTCAGCTTTGAGGAGCTGCCTTTCACAGGAACAGCTCGTGGCAGCACCTGTGAGAGCCCTGGCACTTCATTACTTCTATTTATTGTTCTCCCACAGTACAGGTCTTACACAGGCAAGCGTTCACCACTGATCTGATCTGCACCCCAGACCTCTCCACAGTTTTTTTTTTGAGACAAGGTCTCATTATGTAGCCACGGCTGACCTGGAACTCAATATGTAGGCCAGGTTGGCTTCTAACTCACAGATATCTACCTGCCTCTGCCTCCTGAGTACTAGGATTAAAGACGTGCACAGCACTACTATGCCCAGCTTTTTCTAGTACCTTTAAACCTCACTCTAGCCTGGTCAATGCTAGTTACTAGGTTTTTGGGTATTTTTACATTTTTGTTTTAAGTTTTTTTCCTATTATTTAAAAAAATTATTTTTATTTTAAGTGCATTTGGTGTTTTGACTGTATGTATATATGTTTGACTATGTCGTATCCCCTAGAACTGGAGTTAGAGACAGTTGTAAGATGCCATGTGGGTGCTGGGAATTGAAGCCAAGTCCTCTGAGGAGTAGCCAATACTCTTAACTTCTTCAGACACTTGATTACTGTTTTGTTTTGTTTTTTCCAATACAGGGTTTCTCTGTGTAGCTTTGCGCCTTTCCTGGATCTCGCTCTGTAGACCAGGCTGGCCTCGAACTCACAGAGATCCTCCTGGCTCTACCTCCCAAGTGTTGGGATTAAAGGCGTGTGCCATTACCTCCCGGCGATTACTGGTTTTAAAAAGCAATGTAAGAGAGCCAGGGGTGGTGCATGTTTTAATCCCAGCACTCAGGAGGCAGAGGCAGGAGGATCTCTGTGAGTTCCAGGCCAGCCTGGGCTATAGAGCGAGATCCAGGACAGCCAGGGCTACACAGAGAAACCCTGTCTCAAAACAAACAAACAAAATCAAAAACAAAAAAAGAGCAGTTTAAGAGCAAACAGTGGACCCAGTACACCTACCGCTTATTCTATAAACAAGGAAGCCAGGCGCAGAACCTCAGGGAGAGATCAGAACTATCGAGCTTAGTCCTGCCCCATCCCACCACCCTATCTTCCACCACACTTCCCCCACTGGGAAGCTTATTTCCTAAGGGCCAAGAGGTCACCCCCAGGCCACCTGGCAGCCTCCTCAAGTACTCTTGTAGTCACCACAGACTGACTTCTAAAGCTTGTCCCCACAAGGGCCAGGCCCATCTCTTACGCAGGCTATGACCAGAGCAGGTCAGCCGGCACCTGTTGGAGTTTGGCTAACACCATATGGGGCATCTACAAAGGAGTCTGTATAGCTACTCCTGTGGCGATAGGAGCTGGAGCCTTGCTCTCTCGGAGGCCAAAGCTACTGCACACCCCAGTGATACGCAGGAGTCCATGGCCAGCTCTGGTGAGAGTCAGCCTGTTTCACAAGACTGAGTGGGAAGAGCACAGAGAGCCACCATGGATTTCCAAACAAAGCTTCCAAGGAGACCTGAGCTGTGTTTAGCCCATTCCCCCATTAGGCTCAGGAAGAAGACTTCTCCTTAGCCTTGGGGGGGGGGGGGCCAGAAAAGCCTCATGGTCCTCTCATCTACCAATATTCCCTGACAGGAGATAGGCCCAGAGGGCACCATTTCTGAAGCAGCAGCCCTTCCCCAGCCTCAGGATACAATAACCTGGCAGTGGGTACGCATGTGAAGCATCCAATCTGCCCAGACTCCACAGCCTGCCCCCGGCAGAAGCATGAAAAAGCCTGCTGCCTGCCACTCAGGACTTCTCTCCCACTGCTGGGAAGGGGAGCAAAGGTGCGCTCTGTGGATACCTGTAGCGGAATCTGTATCTTCACATGCTTCGGCTCTATGAGAGCTTGGGGGTGGAAGGGTGTGGGGTCTTCTGGTCTAGTTTACTCTCCCCACAAGAGTCTGAGCACAGGTCACTCAACTGTGAGGGCCAGGGGTCGAGGGGGGAAAGGGATGACAACGGCCTCCTGATTGGGAAAGCGCCTACTGCCACACAGAAGCTCCGACACGAGGCGACAAGGCATTTCCCTATCAGCAGGTCCTTCCCGACAGACAGACGCAGCAGTGTGAGCCACAGGCACCGCACACCACCTGGGGAAGGTGTGAGTGGCTAACAAACCAGAACAAGCCTGAGACCCACCTCAGCCTGCCTGTGTCCCAGCAGAGTTCTTCTCCCCAGAGGCCTTTCCCATGCCCCAGGGACCTGGGCACCTTTAGACCCACCCAGCCCTCAGCAGCCGTATCCTGCCTCCCACTCACTGCTGCACTGAGCCAGGCCCTCAGGAAGGAGCAAACCCACTCTGCACTCTCTCTCTCTCTCTCTCTCTCTCTCTCTCTCTCTCTCTCTCTTTCCCCCCCCCCCCCCCCCCCCCCCCCCCACTTTCTTCCCCTGCAGGAAGAAGCTTTGCTGCACTAGCCATGTCCTCCTCCCCAGGCTCAAGGCTCAAGTCTATTAGCCTGGTGACCTGAATCATCTGCTCAGGCCACCTCTCTGTCCTGCCTGCCTCACACTGGACAGAAGTTACTCTTCCAGAAGGACCTATATTAAAGATAGATACTCAGTTAAAAGTACATTTCAGATAAACAATGCATTTAAAAAAACATAAGTATGTCTTTGGGATATACTTTAGCACAAAGCAAACAAACAAACAAACAAGCAAATAAATAAATAGCCGGGCAGTGGTGGCACACGCCTTTAATCCCAGCACTCAGGAGGCAGAGCCAGGTGGATCTCTGCGAGTTCAAGGCCAGCCTGGTCTACAGAGCGAGATCCAGGAAAGGCACAAAACTACACAGAGAAACCCTGTCTCGGAAAAACAACAACAACAACAACAACAACAACAAAAACCCAAAAATAAATAGATAACCAAACAAATAATGAATGAATAAAAAATACTTTAGCACAAAGAATGTCTTTGAGATATATTTAAGACTAAGAAATTACTTGTTTTATCTGAAGTTCAAATTTACCCAAGAATTTTGTTGTTTCTCTGTTTATAAACTTAAAAAAAAAATGTGTGTGTGTATGTGTGTGTGTGTGTATGTGTGGTGTGGTGTGTGTGTGTGTGTGTGTGTGTGTGTGTGTGTGTGTGTGTGGTGTGTATGTGTGTGTGTGTGTGTTTGTGTGCCACATGTGTGCAGGTACCTCCAGAGGCCAGAGAAGGGTCTTGGATTCCCTGGAGCTGGAGCTACAGGTTACAGGTAGTTGTGAGTAACCCAGTGTGTGTGCTAGGAATCAAACCTTGGCTTTCTGAAAGGGCAGTAAGTATTCCTAACTATTGAGCACTTCCTTCCTTCCTTCCTTTTTTTTTTAAGATTTATTTATTTATTATACATACAGTGTTGTTTGCATGTATCCCTGAAGGCCAGAAGAGGGAGCCAAATCTCATTACAGATGGTTGTGAGCCACCATGTGGGTGTTGGGAATTGAACTCAGGTCCTCTGGAAGAACAGCCAGTGCTCTTAACCTTTGAGCCATCTCTCCAGCCCCCTTGAGCACTTTCTTTAGCCCATTTCTTTGTTTGTTTGTTTTTGTTTTTGAAGACAGTTTCTCTGTGTTTTGGTAGCTGTCCTGGATCTCACTCTATAGACCAGGCTGGCCTTGAACTCACAGAGATCCGCCTGGCTCTGCCTCCCAAGTGCTGGGATTAAAGGCGTGCGCCACCACCGCCCGGCTCCATTTTATTCTTTTGAGATAAGGTCTCATGTAGCTCAAACTGACTTTAACCCCCTATGCAGCTGAGGGTGATGTTGAACTTCTGAGCCTCTGGTACCCACCTCCTGAGTGCTCGGATTACAGGCAGTGCTGCCACACCTGGCTTACGGAGTGCTAGAAACTGAACCCTAGGCTTCGTGCCTGCAAGGTAAACGCCTTACCAGCTGCGCTCCCCCGAGCCTGGCACTCTATCTGCATTTGTCTGCCACCTTCCTCGGATCGGGGCCCATCAGCATTCTAACCCTCCTCCTCTGGCGGCTCATCTGCCAAGTGCAAGTACACAGTACACCAAGTTACATGAGCACTCACCTGTATTGTAGGCAGTGGGCATGGAGGAGAAGGGGAGGCCCTGGCTGAGTAAACTTGGTGTTGCCACGGAAACCACTGGGGTGGTGAGCGAGTGGGTAGACTGGGAGACCCCAAGGCGCTGGGCATTGTTCTGTAGGAAAAAACTGTCTGTCAAGAGATGGCAAATGGGTGGGCTGCCTCAAGGTGGCCCACCACACTATACCTGAACTAGGTCCCTGAATTCCAAGGGAAGGTACCATACATGAAGGCCCACAGACACGAACACCAAGTTAGTGTGTTTGGAGGCCCAAAGACTCACAGAGAAAAACATGCACGCAGATTCACTTGCATCTGCACCCATGCAGAAAGGCAGGCACATGGGCAGCCTGGAGCTCAATATGAACCCTCCAATATGAACACTGCCCTGGTTCCTGAAAGGAAGAGATGTGGTCCTCCCTTGGGGAGGAAGACCACTGGGGTCTTCTCTACACCTGTTACAGTAGCAGATGCCCCAGGAGATGTATACTGACTGACATCTGTGAATGGGGTGTGGGATCTGGGGTGGCATGTGACTGCATGTATGCACACACGTGTGTAGGGCTGTCAGCTCCATCTGCTGCTGAGTCACTTGTTTATTCCAACTCCATGCTGGGGCCGAAACTGCCGCTGTGTTGGCCGCCAAAGCCTGCTTGCCTTTTCCAGCCTTTCTGGCCTCCTGTCAGCAAGCTGGGGGGGGGGGCACCCTCCTCTTTCCTGGCTGACGGTGGATATGTAAGCATGGGGAGGGGTTGTGGACGTCTCTAAGTGCCTATGAGATGGGCTCAGGGTAGGAGCAAGCAAACAGGCAGGCAGGGAAGTCCTTGCTAAAAACAACTCCAGTCCTGCCTCGGGCCTCAGCTTCCCCTGGAAAACGGACTTTCCTAGATTTTCTTGTAAGGATTAGGTCTGTGTCTTGGGTTCCAATGTTGCATGGACCTATGTGAAGTCAGGCTGCCAGTGAGATCCAAGGGCTCAATTCAGGCATTTGGCTGGGGCCTCAAAGGCCTGGGGATTGCCTCATGCTCTTTTCCAGATGCACACACACATACATATACACACACCTGTCTGAATAAATATAGTAATACATACACACATGCACACGCAGATCCACACGCATGCCATGTCCAGCCCTTCCCGCTGCCCTGTTCACCTCAGGATCCCACTCAGCTCTAAGCACAACTCTTGACAAACAACCAAGAACTAAACGTCACACATTAAACACAGATGGAGAAGACTGGGACACATACGCATGCTGTAGGCTGAATAACATGGGGCAAAGCTGGAACCCAAAGGCACTGCTAATGTCTCAGCCACACTTACCAAATCTAAATGGTCCTCAGTCTGGGAGCAGAAATAAAACCAAGAGGATGTTCAGGCTATGGCTTCTCCTTCCCACATAGCCACCCCATCCACCTGTCTGCCTGAGAGCAGACTGTTCTTTCTGACCCCAAAGGATAGCTAGGTATTCTGGCCATCTGATATCCACAAAACGCTCTATCCTGGTCTCCACCAGCCAGACACTGTGAGCTGGTCCTTATTCTCATGACACAGTGTGAATTCCTTCATCATCCTCTCCATCACAGAGCCTTCCCTCCTAGCTCTTGTTCGGTTCCCCTACCCTCTGGCCGGGACGACTGCATTCCAACCTCACAGAAGGCCCTCAGGGAAGACGAAGGTCACAAAAAAGCTATGTGCGCTCTTTCTCAAGAAGTCCTGCATGCCACTAACCTTCATCTCTCTTGCTAGAGGTCACTCTTCTCTTCCCACCTCCCAGCCCCTGCCATAGCCCAGAAACCCACTCACCAAATGATGCATTAACCCTTTGCCTCCCTGGGAAGTGATGACCCGCAGATCAGGCTTGCGGCTGGGGGCTCCAAGCTGGGTGTTGTGGGTGGGTGGGGGTGGAGACTTGGCAGGGATGACTTTGTTTAGGCTGTTGCCATTGGCCACAGGGAGGAGGCCAGGGGAAGCGCGGGCACTGACGTAGCCATTCCCTGGAGAAGTGAGATGAGGAAAGGAGAAATGCTGGCCTGCCTCCGTCCCTGCCAACTGCCCCAGACAGGCCTATCTGTCGCCTGGAGGCCCTCAAGAGGCACACCAGGGCTCCACATGGGCACTGAACTGCCTAAAGCCTTGGTCCCCAATCACTTAGCTCAGAGTCAGCTTCTAAGCCAAAGTGATGGGGCCAGGGGGAGCGTAGAGGTAGGCCAGAGGGAGAACTAACAAGCAGCCAGGGTCACTGGCAGCCCTGGGCACGAGAGAGCCCTACAGCCATGCCTTTGCCCGGCCTAGCACTCTGCACTTCTCACAGGGCATACAAGGACCAGAGTGGGGAAAGGTGGCAGACGATGACCTGGCCTTCACTGAAGAGCCCTGGTCACCGGGGCTAGCCAACCATTTAGACTGTTTCCTTGCCAGGAGCTAGAACTCTGTGCTTTTGATCAGTACAAGACAAGCCTGCAGCCTTGGGGAAGACAGACCACTGACTGCTGGTAATGGTGTTTCCGGCACCAGGGGCTGATGATACGGTCGCTGCCAGAACTAGACTGGGGATAAAGGCATCACAACCATCTTTTATATTTGCACTCTGCCAGGTCCAGGCCTTCCACACACAGTATCTCACACATGTTCACATCAGCCAGGTGAGATGCATAGAGGGGGAAACACGGCACTGGTTGAGAGAGGATTGATGCCTTGCCCAGGGCATCTCATTGAGTGCCCAACGCTGGACTCATGGGCCCATGAGCCAGGAAAGGAAGGGGTGTACCTCTAGTACATGTCTCATGACTCCAATGCACATCTTTTGCTGAGGAACCCTCACACCCACCCTTTACACAGAACCCATAGTGACCAAGACAGGAAAGGGGTGGCTGGCACCCTGGCTGCGACTGAGCTGGAGGAATCTAAGGGCCAGGAATGTAGGCAGTGACTCCAGTGTGAAATCCCACCTCGCTCTGTCCCCCGAGAGCACACAGTTACTCTCCAAGTGTGTTTGCTGTCTCTACCCCAACTCCAAGATCACTCTGGGAATGGCAAGAATGACAGGGTGACGTCAATGGTGACATGAGAAGGTCAGCAGCCTGACACCAGCAGAGGAAGAGTGACTCGAAGTGGCTGGGCACAGGAGCAGCAGCAGTCCTGACTCTGGTACATATCTGCACGGTGACTCCGCGGGAGCACAGAGGACTGTGTGCATGGGTGGTACATGTGTGCCTACCATTTGTCTAGGCAAGGCCTGATCCCAACTAGATGCCCCATTTAATCTGAAAATGCTGGACTATGGCCAGACATGGTGGCACACGCCTTTCATTCCAGCACTCAGGAGGCAGAGGCAGGGGGATTCTATGAATTTGAGGACATCTGGGTCCACATAGCAAGTTCCAGGCCAGCCAGGGCTCCACAGAGAGACCTGTCTCAAAAAAAAAAAAAAAAAAAAAAAAAAAAAAAAAAAAAAAAAAAAATCGGGGGAGGGGGAGGGGGAGGGGGATGCTGGACCTTCCACTTCATAACACTGTGGATCCATTCTTGGTTTGCCTGCCATTCTTCAGACCCACACCTCTGCTGACCAGTCACTGCGGTAGACACCAAAATAATCCAGGGGCCTAAAAATCTTCTGCTGCATCCTGCTCAGGCCCTGCCATTTTCCTCCCCTTCCCTCCAGGTCCCTGGCCACTCTGAGCCACCCCGTGGAAGGCAGCTACACTCACCAACGGGACTGGGGCAGGCTCCATTAGCACTGTTGAGGTCTCCACCCAGCATGGCTCCTGGGAGAAAAGCAGAGCTACCGTGAGCTTTGTCTTGGGACTACACAAGAAGAGGGGCCCTGAGGAGTCCTAGGCTTCCCCCTCAAGAGTCACCCACATGCAGGAAAAGGGAAGCTCAGAGGCTCTCCCACACCTCGCGTCCACCTCAGCAACCCCCGCCCCCCAGCCTGCTTACCTGCACTAGCAGGTCGCTGAGGCAGGCCCGGAGAGACGCTGTTTCTCTGCAGTGCTGGCTGCTGGGGGGACAGGAGCCGGGGGTCCGTAAGGGACGACGTCACCAGGGAAGGAGTGACCAGAGAGCCGCTAGGATTGCTGAACTGCATGGAGCTCTGGCTGGACACGGGCACTGTGACAGGCATGGCAAAGTTGGGGGCCGGAACAGATGACTAGACAGAAAGACGGAGGGCCGCGTCACACCAGGTGGACCTCTCACCGGGACCCACTTTGCCCAAGAGGGTAGGCACAAGGGTTCTCTGGTTCCTGGACTCTATCTCCAAGGGCCAGCAGCTTGGGTCCCCTGCCTTCCTCCCGTCAGAAAGGTGGGAGCACCTTACAGTACAGCACGGCACTGGGCCAAGGCAGGAGAGCGAGGCTCTGTCCACTGCAGATGGGACTGGACACCTCCAGTGGAGGTGGGTTAGTCCTCAGCCAGGCAGGACACACCGGGAGCAAGTTAGTGCCCTGGGGACACACCCACACTCACACGCTGCTGAGACTATGGCTTCACTCAGTGGCCACCCACCACCTGGCCTGCTTCAGGAGCAGCTCCAGCCTCTCCCTGTCTCCCCTTTAGCAGTCTGGCTTCCTTTAAACAAAGCTGAGGGCCTTAGGCACGGGCACCAAGCAGCCCAAGGAGGGCCTCTCCCCAAAATAAGAGGACAAAGAACATACTCTTCCTTGCCCTCTGAAGACTCATGGCATTTGCCCTCTTTTTGCTGGTGAAGGGACACTGTCTGTCTCTCTAGCTTATGCAAGGACTTTACAAGAGGGTTGTCGAGACCAAGGTCAGGAGTTCCTCAGTGGTCAGTGCCAGCTCAGAGATGGCTCAGCCGAGTACACCCAGCGGAGGCAGCCGAGGCCGGGCAAGGCTGGGTAAAGCCACACCATGCAGCACAGGAGGCTTCTCCTCCATGCGACTACTCACGGCCAGTCTATAACTCTGCATCATCTTATCAAATTCCTCGTCTATCTTTTTATACTTCTCCTCCGTCTGGGGGGTCAGGGCAAACGCCTCGTCCACCTCAGGGCTCTCACATTCCCTGTGCTTCTTGTGCAGCGCCTGGGGGAGGGGCCGAAGGGGACCAGAGAAAACGTGAGGAGAGCTCACCCCATAGCGCCGGAAGAGCCCGTCCAGCTCCTCACTGGCCCGCCGGTACTTGTCCTCCAGAAGGGGGCTTTGCTCCAGGGAGTCCTCCCCATCCGGCTCTGGGCTGTCACAGCCGTTGAAACCCTTCTTCCTCAGGGTCTGCAACCGCACCACTCAGTCAGCCAGCCAGCCATGGTCCTCCTGCCTCCTCCAACCTTCTCTCCCACGAAGCTCCAGCCCCTCCCTCAGAGCCATCCTTCCCCGCAGACATACACCATGTTCCCTTGGGGCCCTGAGTGAAGTGGGACCTGACCTAGGCAGTGCACTGGCATGGATGGGGCAGGTGTGCTCCACGGCTCCATCTAGGGAGCAGCCAACCCCAGCCTGCTCCCCAAGGATGTGCTGGGGGGTGGGGGCTCTGCCGTCCAAACCCCTAGGTTCTACTTAGGTGAGAGAACTGGATGGGGGAGACAGGAGAGGGTGATCCAGGAAAGCACAAAGGACCTGCACTTACTGAGCTTTTTGCTCTGTACCACCCCAGACTCCACCCATGGCCAAAGCCTTGCACATGACCTTAAAGTGCATCTGTGGCAGACCCAAGTACCTGTGGTCGCTCAAAACTTTAAAGATACTTGCTTCATGTTGTTTTTAAATCACATTTATTCATGTACTTGTGTGAGCTCACATGCCACAGCACACTGAGTGCATGTCAGAGGACGAGCTGCAGGCGCTGGCTCCCTTCCCTCCACCACGGGGATCCTGGGAATTAAACTCAGGTTCATCAGGTTCAGCAATAAGTGCTTTTACCTGGGAAGCCATCAACAGCCCTTGCTTCATTTTTACTTTTATTTATTTATCTTTTCTTTAAAAAAAAAAAAAAGATTTATTTACTTATTATGTATACAGAAGAGGGTACCAGATCTCATTACAGATGGTTGTGAGCTACCATGTGGGTGCTGGGAATTGAATTCAGGACCTCTGGAAGAGCAGTCAGTGCTCTTAACCTCTGAGCCATCTCTCCAGCCCCTTATCTTTTCAAGACAGGGTTTCACTGTGTATTCCTGTCTGTCCTCGAACTCACAGTGATCCGCCTGCCTCTGTCTCCCAAGTGCTGAGATTAAAGGTGTGCACCACCACCTGGCTTATTTTTATTTATTTTTTAGTTTATTTCATGTGTATGTGTGTTTTGCCTGCATGTATGTGTACAATAGTGCCTGGTGCCTGTGGGGTCAGAAGAAGGTGGATGTCATATCCCCGGAACTGGAGTTACAGGCAGTTGTGAGCTGCCATGTGGGTACTGGGAATCCAACTGAGGTCCTCTGGAAGAGCAGCCAGTGCTCTTAACCTCTGTGTCCCAAGTTGGCACCCTAGAGTGAGAAGCATGAGCTGGCTGTCTTGTGTGTTCTTCACAGAACAACCTAGTAACCCAGTACTGCTCAGTCTGTGGAGGAGACCATGGCCCAGAGAAGCCAAACCACCTGCCTAAGGCCACGTGGCCAGTCAAGACCAGAGATGAATCCCAAAGCTCACGTCCTTCCACATTTCACATTTTGACTCTGAAACAGAAGGCAAGAGCCACAGACTCATAAAGGAACAGGACAGAAAGAACAAAGAGGGAGACACAAAAGGAGTATCCCAGAGGATGAAGGAAGGAGGCGCTAAGAGAGAGCAGAGGACAGCGGGATGCTCCTCAGACCTGGCAGACCACAGACTGCCTAAGCGAGCTGTGGCCTGGTACTGGCCACGTCTCATGCCTTCGCTGCCACGCCCCTCCTTCCTTGGGGCCTGGGCTCAGGAGAAGAGACGGGTCTACACACAGGCAGAGGTGGGCACAGGCGCACCTCAATGATGTCAGCATTGGTGCGGCTCTCGTGCGGCTCGTTGTACTCCGTGTACTTGAGCAGCACCTTGTCCATGTCGGTGCTGGCGTACTGGAACAGCTTGTTGGAGTGGTTGAAGATGATCAGCGCGATCTCACAGTCGCACAGCACACTCAGTTCGTAAGCCTTCTTCATCAGCCCGAACTTCCGCTTGGTGAAGGTCACCTGCAGGAGTGGTGGGTGGCCAGGTCTGACCAGAGTCCCTCTGCCTATAGACAGCTGGACATAGCCCTTACCCTAGAGTTCCACTGTCTATGGAAATCCCTGGTCTAGAAAGGAACAAAATGGCACCCCTTAGCCAGACCACAGCCAAGACACACCAGAGCCAGCCTCAGACGGGAGAAGGATTCAGATGGCCAGGAGGCCACATCTCTGTGCAGTGGGCTGAGAAGGGCAGCTCCCAGGTGAGGAGAGGAAGATTCCTGCTGGGATGAGGGAGCTGTGGTGTGGCAATGGTGTAGGCCCTGGCCCATCTCAGCGTTAATGAGGTACACAAAGGTGCTCCTCTCCCCACACAGACCCACTCCATTTACAACCTCCAGTGAGTCCCTGGGCTTCCAAGAATCCCTCTTCTAGAACTGGTCATGGGTGACGGAAGCTGGCTCCCTGCCCTTGCTCTCCTACCACATGGGGCTCTGGGACCTCCTCACCTGGCGGTTCCGCTCATCAGTGATTCGCTGGATCTGAATCTTTTTCCTCCCCATCTTCTCCGGGGGTCCTTAGTGCCAGAGAGGAAGGGGCTGCTGGGTGTTGGTCAGGAGCCTCACACTGTGCTCATGAATGTCTGGGACTAGCGTTCAGTTCATGGTCTGCAGAACACCTATGCACAGCCTCCTGGGAGGGGAGGATCATAATAGGACTGTTAGACCCCAGCTTTGTTACTTGAGATGTGGGCTAGGCTCACTACAGCTGTAAGAGACTAGTGGCATTTCTGCCCCACCCCCAAATTGTGGCAATATTGGCTCTAGAGGAGATGCACGCCCCTGCCCCCCCAATACCAAGTGTAAGTTGGGCTCCCCCTGGGACCAGTACTTGGTCTAGGCTGATAGCCCAAGTCACTGCTCTCCGTGGGCTTAAGGCCACACAGAAGGCACAGGGCTCTTGGGTCTGCTTCTTGGACAGCACCATGCCCTGCTCTCTGTAGTGCTTGTCTGTACGACGTGTTGTGTCACCCCCCCTCACCCACCACCACCTGGACCAGTGGAGGCTCTGATGCTGGAGCCATAGTGAGAACATGTTGAGCTAATGCCTACCCAGACTGAAAGCAGCAGGCAGAGAGAGAGAGGATGTCTGATGCCCCAGTCCAGGGTGGCAGCAGGGCCCTGACATGGACTAACAGAGCCGGGGGACAGTGAGGGCTGGGGTTTTAGAATGCCTGCCCCAGTCAGAGCTTGTGTACATCGGTCTGCTTCATTCGCTCAGCCCAAGCACGGTTTTTGTTTGAAGGAAGGGTGTCCTGCCGCTTAGACACAGACAAGCGACTCTAGGTCGGAGGGCAGCGGATCTCTTTTCCCTAACTCCTCACCTCATACTGGGGACTGAACCCAGTGGTCCTGCCCTTGCTGGGAAAGTGCTCTGCCTAGCTGCATCCTCAACTCCCACTTTTATTTCTTGAGCTAAGGTCTTGCTGAGTTCCCCAGACTGGCCTTTAAATGTGTGATCATCCTGCCTCAACCTCCCGAGAAGCTATGGTGAAGGAAGGCCTGCACCACAGTCTGGCTTTTCTCTGATGACTGTGGTGTCAAGTATGGAACCTAAGGGTTTCACACTCCCTAGGTAAGTGCTCCATCACTAAATTCACTCTAATCCAGGCCAGTGTTTCTGTAAAGGGCCAGAGAATCAGCACTGCCATAAATTCTGTAGCAATGTTTAGCTCTGCTGTAGCAGCCTGGCTGACAAGACAAATGAAGGAGACGTTGTGGTGGTGGTGGTGGTGGTGGCGGCGGCGGCAGCGGCGGCAGCGGCGGCGGCGGCGGCAGCAGCGGCCCACATCTTTGATCCCAGCACCCGGGAGTCCCACACCTCTAATCCCAGCATTGGGAAGCAGAGGCAGGCGGATCTCAGTGAGTTGAGACCAGCTTGGTCTACATAGTGATATCCCTGCTGGGGGGCACAACAAAAAACATAAAAATAAATAAATGGAGGTGGGGCAGGAGATATGCAAAGAAGGTGCTCTGGGGAACTAAGAGATGGCTTAGCATTTAAGAGCCCTTGCTGGTCTCGAAAAGGACCTGGGTTCAGTTCCTAATACCCATTTGGAGAGTTACAAATATTTATTTATTTTTTATTTATTTTGTGGGGGCTGAGGGGATATGTGTGGGGGAGCAGGGTTTTTTCTGTGTAACATGTCTGGCTGTCCTGGAACTTTCTTTGTAGACCAGGCTAGCCTCGAATTCAGAGAGATCCGCCTGCATCTGTCTCCCAAGTGTTGGCATTAAAGGTGTGCCCCACCGCCACCGCCCGGCCTGCAAATGTTTAACCTCAGTTGTGGGGATCTAATGTCCGCTGGTCTCACAGGCACTACACAAATATGGTGGCAGGCAGACTCACAGCAGGGAGGCGCAGGGCTCCTCAGCGACAGCTGGGTGCCGTTTCCACAAGGCTGGAAGGTTACGGATTAGGTGAAGAAGTTGACAGGCACCTGACTATGATGGGGTGGGGGGAGGAACGGTTTCTACCTGCTCAGGACCATCACAGATCACATGACTGACCCTCAGGATTCATTGTCTAGCTTCCACTCTGCTTAAGTATCTACAGAGAATATCCCAGCTCCTTTTCTTCCCCTGAAAGGAAGTGTTTTGTCTGCACGTATGTAAGGTCACCAAAAGAGGGAACCAGCGCCCTGTTCCCTTACTCTGATAGCTGAGGATCTCCACAGTCCCTGGCCTCTACTGCCCACCCTCTCTATCCCAGACCACCAGCAGCCTAGATAGCCCTGTGTGACCCAAATAAGCAGCAGTCACTTCTGGCCTGTGACACCAACTCCCTGCAGAGGCTCCAGCCGGAACATCTAGCTTTACCCCGCCTCTTAGGGCTATCCACACTGCCTCCCCATTGGTCTGGGCAGGTGGGAAGGCACACTGGGGCAAGGGCTAGGACAGTTGACCTTTTTAGGGTTTCTCTGGCCCAGCCTCGGGAACTCCAATCCAAACCACAGTGCAGGGACTCCTGAGCCCACTGGCCATGCGGCTGCCTTCCTTCTTGTCCCCTTTCCCATCTCCTGCCCACAACACGCAGTCCATGAACAGACTCTTGATGACAGAACCTCTCCCCTGCTTGTGGCCAGTGCTGTCTCCTCAGGCAGGGTGGCGTGAACTGTCTCAGTGTTTTCAGTTTTCCAAACAGCTAGTCTAACAATCTTTCTAGCATTACAATCTCTAAATAACTCTGCTTCTCTTCTGTGCCTGGTTCCCCCAAGGTTGGAGCTTCATGAAGACAGGAACCACACTTGTCTCTTTACTATGCTATTGCCTGTAGGAAAGAGCCCAGGAAATACCTATGCAAAGAAAATATGAGCCTGTGAGAAGTCCTTCCTGCAGTCTAATCTCTGTCTGTCCTGCTGTTCTCACTGTCCTCTGCAGAGCTGAATCCTTCTACCAGCTGCCCTCAAAGCCTATCAGCTTGGACACCACCAACCCTCCAACCAACCCTGACACCCTCACCCTCATCCCTCTCTACACTCAGCTCGACTGGTGCAGAGGGTGAGACTCTAAGTCTTCTAAGGAGCAGCCCTGAGCACATGGAGATGGAGAGGATGGGGTTGCTTAGGCAACTGTCGCCTGGCAACCAGCTCCCTGGCTGATCTCCTACACTGCCCCCCCACATCCCTGCCGCATGCTGGGGGAGCTAGGATATGAGAGAGATCATGGCTGAGAAGGCAGGGAAGCCAGAGAGACCCAGTGAGTATCCTTTAGCAGAGGGAATCTGTCTGTTTAAGAGGTCAGGCCCCAGCAACCCTGACTCCCTCTACACTAGCTCAGCCATTTATAATAAGCCATGCCTCCCAGGTCTTGCTCACTGCTGTTCTTCCTCTGCCAGAGGACAGACCCTGCCTTGGGCAGTCCTTCCTCCTAGCTAACCACAAGTTCTTTTACAAAGCAGGCTCTGTCCCCTCCGCTGCCCGCTCCACACTGCTTCAAATTCTTTGGAAGCCCTGGGGCAAGAATATGAACTTGGTCTTGGTTCTGGAAGAGTGGTGTCTGGGCAGAGACGGTCACAAAGGACCTCAGACTGACCCAACTCCCCTACTCCATCAGGAGATTTTAACGAACACCTGGGCCTGCTTAATTAGTCCTCTGTTCAGCAATCTAACTGCCAGGAGCCAGAGACCTGGGCTTCTGCTCTCCAGATGCATGCTCTGCTCCTGCATGGCCTGGACAGTGTCCAGTCCCCTCTTCTCTCATGCCCTGGCTTTTGGGCTGCTTTTTTCCTTCTTTTTCTTTTTTTGCAGGGGACGGGGGTGGGGGCTGAGAAAGGGTCTGTGTAGCAATGGCTGTCCTGGAACTCACCCTGTAGCCCAGACTGGCCTCGAACTCAGAGATCTGCCTGCCTCTGCCTCCCAAGTGCTGGGATTAAAGGTGCATGCCGCCACCACCACTGGGCTGCTGCTCTTCTAAGCCTAGTCTGCAGCTCTTGGCAGACATGCTGAGGTGCTAGGCCCCAGGCCTTCCCATCCTGACCTCAGACCACAGCTGTGTCACAGCGGTGGCCCTCAGCAGGCTCTAGCTGGGCAGGGTGGTGTTCCCAGCAGGCCGTGACAGGAGCGGCAGAAAGAAGGCACTGGCTGGTGGTATCTGTAGAGAAGCCGACAGCAGGGAGGCGGTGGGGGGGGGGGGCAGGAAAGCCTAGGATCCAGGATCCCATGGCAACGTGCACTGTTCACACGCAAAAGAGGGACAGGTGAAAAGCAAAGGGGCACTGGTTTGAAGGATCATGGGAGAATAGGTCCTTGTCTCCCTAACGCCTCGTCACACCTCTTGGTACCTGAGCAATAGTCAAATCACTCTGGGGTTTCAGAATGAGGCATCTCAGTTCCTGTGTGAAGGGCCTGGGTGGAGATGGAGTGGGGTCAGGACTGGTTCCTGTAGCCATTACTGAAGGGCCAGGCAGGAACATCCTTTCTTCGGCAGTCTCCAGAGTTCCTCTCAGCTCTTTAGCAATGCACCCCTATTTTCTGCTCCCTCATAGCCTTCTCCTCTGAGTACTGTGTCCTGGTTGCCTGAGGCTCTAAAAAGCTGCATGCATCTGACTCTGGAGCCCTATACCAACAGGCTCCAATGGAGCAGAGGCCAAAAAGGCCAAGCCCTGGGCTCTTCCTGAAGGGAGAGGGAGACAAGGAGGTATCTGCTCTCATTAGGCACTCCCCCTCCCTTCTAGGCCGCTGGGGGGCCTCAGGCTGGGACTCGGGAAAGCAGGCTGCACTGAAGACAGCTGTCACCCTCCTCCACCCTCTCCCCGGCAGGGCTGCAGGGCATGAAATAAGCAGCCGGCGCTGGGGGAGGGGGCGACAATCCAATCCACCTGTCACCCCCACAGTCGGGCAGCCTGCTTGCTAGTGGGAGGAGGCGTGGGCAAGGTGGGGACAGATGCACAGACACAGGAAGGAGACAGAAAGGGGCCAGTGAGGATGGGAGAGCAGCTGGGCTGGGCAGCCGAGGGGTGCCCCGGCAGCCTGCCCTGGGGGCACCCTTCAGGGCCTCTCCTTTCCTCCCTGCCCCAAGCTAGCTCTCTTCTCCAGAGTTCCCAACAGCATATGAAAGCGCAGGTCCTGAGCCTTCTAAGTCCTGCCAGGCTGACTACCTAAAACCCCGGTTCCCACCATGTCCCACCATCCCCTCCCCCAGCCAGCGCTTGGGGTTGGGCAGGGCCTATTTTTAGCCTGGGCAGTGAGCTAATTATAACTCACCAACAGGGGACCTGAGGGCGGGCTAGGGGGCAGTCCAGGAAAGCAGGGCGAGGGAGGGGTGGTCCCAGGCATTGTGACCTGTAGAGACAGAAGCTGACTTGAGGAGCACCCAGTGGGGCTGGAAACCTTTCCCTAGCGTCCATTGGGCAATTCTCCCGTACTCCACCCTTGGCTTCCCACCTCTCCTGTCTGGCAAACCTCTTGGGAAAGTGTCATCCTGTTTTCTCCACGAGGGACTGTCAACTGTGTCCCACTCCCTGTCCTTCCTGTAGCAGCTGAGGCCTTGAGGCTCCTAGGCCTCCTCCCACCCACAGGAAAGTTCCTAGAGCCACCGGCTGAGCCTTGGGAACCATTACAGGCCACTGGAGACCCATCCTGGCAGCAAAGGGGTGAATACAGTTAGGCAGTGAAGGAAGAGTCTGCAGGGTCTGGCTGGGCTTCTCTAGCCCGTACCGAGATCCTGCTGTGTGCCCAAATCAGTCATTGGCCCTCCAGCTTCACCCCGGTAGCATTACAGATGGGTAGAAGGGTGAGGTTTCCCCAAGGGCCCCTCCACCCCACTACTCTGCTCCTGGGCTTCGTGGAAGTGCCCATCAGGAAGAAAGTCAGCCATGCAGTTCCAAAGAGAAGTGCCAGTCTAGGTCCCCTTCAGCCCAGGATGTGCTTTCTGGACTGTCACCCCTTAGCAGATGAAGGAGAGCTGGCTCTGGGCCACTATGTTGGGGCCAGGGCCAGGTAGAGCACAGGAGGCCCTGGTACCAGTTGCAGCTCTCAGGATCCTGTCCAACTCGTGGTACACCTATGGGACCCAGAATTTGGGGCCTCCAAGGCCCCTGGTCTTGGTTAGGCCCAGTCACTGTCATTGGCCTGGCCCATTTTCGAAACCCAAGCTTGTGCTTTGCTTTAGCTCTGCCTAACAGGCCAAGTAGCCATGACTCACTGCTGCTCATTTGCATGGCGATTTGCATAGTGTCTCCACCCTTATTTCTCCAAATTCAACTTCCCACTCCAGAGCGTAGGCCACCCACGTCCAGCACCCGTGGCACTCAGGACTTCAGAGCTGGCTCTAGCTTCTCTGTCGGAACGCACCCCTCAATGCACAAACAGTACAGAGCCTGCAGCACCCTGTCCCGCCTGTCCAGGGAGAGGGACAGGAGGGCACGGCCCAGCTGGGAGCGTCTGGAACAGGGCTCAAGGCGGGAGAGCAGCAGGAGGTGTTCCTAGCCTACCTCTGGAGTCCACTCTCCACTGTTCAGAGTGAGGCCAACACTGTGGACATGAGTTAGATCACGGAGAGGACTTTGAAGACTGGGTCCTACTCAGAGCCGACTCTGGGGGTTAAGCTCACCTTGTCAGAAGCTAGCCAACCAAGACAGGCAGCCGGGGACACACGGGGGACGTGAAGGTGCTGTGCTCCTACCACAGCGGTGGGCGGACAACCAGGCCCTTGAGAACCTGGAAGTCTAACCTTCATCTGTCCAGTTACAGCACCTACGTATTAGCCATACCCTCTGAACTGAGGCCCAGCTGAGACTGCCTACTCTGGGAAGTCCTTCCTGGTATCTAACTACTCTCACAGCCAATCCTGCCATGGCATCTAAGCCTCCTTCAGTCATCCAGACAAGAATACTGTATGAGGGACCTTGGTTGAGGAGAGGTGGGGGCAGTTGGGACCGTTGAGTGTGTCACCTTCCACCTCCCTACCCTACTTCCCCCTGGGGTCTCAGGAGACAGAAGTGAAAGTTGCAGCTGGGCCTTGAGGACAGATCATCTTGATGGGCGGGCGGGCGTTGGGACGAGCATAAATAATGCCACTATTGCAACAAGTGGATGCTGGCTGGAGGGGTGGAGAGACTGCCCACTGAAATGAAAACTGGGGAATTCTGAGCATGGCCTGGGCCACAGAGCAGGCTGGAGAGTCTCACAAAGGCTCTCTCCTAGGGCACCACTTTTTGTTCAAGCATCCAGGAACAGACCAAGAGCTGAGCCCTAAACGCTGGGCTTCTGGCATAGGGGGAACGGGAGGCAGTGCACAGAGTGAAGGAAGGGCCACCCACACTCAGATGGGGCAGGCCAGAAAGAGGCCAATCCAATCAGGGAAGGCAAATCCTCCTGGCATTGTGACCTCAAGGAGCACCAAGGATTTAAAGGGGCCTTGGGCGGTGCCTGGGTCTCTAAGCCCTAGGCAGAAGGTGGCAGGGTGGCTCTTATGGGGATTAGCCTACTGCTTTTAAGAAAAGACATCAGGCTGGGCGCCTAGGCGGTGGGTCCTGAGCAGCCTGGGGAAAACTATATGTGGTCTCATCAAAGCACGCCTTCATCAAACAGGGTCCACTGCTTCATCAGAACACAGCAGAGATCCTCCGACTTTGTCAACAATGACTGCTGTCTGTCTATGCATGACCCAGAGGGTTCCTTCCTCTGTGGGGAAGCTCTCAGGGGCTTTTACAAGCAAGGCCGGTCCCTGGGAACAGGTGAGGGCTCCCTTTCCCCTCAGCTCCCCACCCCCAACTGCAGGCTGACAGGTGGGGGAGAAGAGCAGGAACAGCTGGGCCACCACACCTGTTTTCCACTCCACGCCTGGCCAAGGGTCTGCTCGGGGACCACACAGGCAAGTCTGCCAAGAGGCAGGCAGGTGTGGGGGCAAAAAGAGAGGGGTCCAGATGTCAAGGGGAGACAGGGCAAGAAGAACCACCCTGACCCAAGGTACGCGCCAGAGGAGAGCAGCCAGGCCCAAGGTCAGCCTCCAGCCCCTCACTCACAGGCCCTGCTTCCCACTTCCCGGAACAGGAAGAGCCCAGAAAAGAAGCCTATTCCCCTTGCCATCGGCCCCACCCCCGCCCCAGTGACCCTCTTGTCTTAGTCTATTCTCCCAAAGGCTTCAAACCCAGGCTGGGGGGAGGAGGACATCACTAGCTAAGGACCTGGGATGTCTGCAGGGCAGGTTTGGAGGCCAGGAGGCAGCTGGCTTGGCATGGGGAAGGAGAGCCTCTGTTTCTCCTGCCACCCTAGGGTCTGGTGGCCCCTTCAAAGCCTTCTCAAGTTCTTGTCCCTACACCCTCGGTCTTAGCTGAAGGTCCTGAGGGAGGGTGCAGCTGTGACACTTCCCACTGAACCTACTTCCTCCAGGAAAGGCAGGGGTCGGGGAGGAAGACAAGGCTGCCCTGCCCCCTCGCCACCTTCAATCTCTTTCCTGTCTGCTCCAAGCAGAGTTCCAGGGGCCTCTGTGTGTTGCTGGCTCCTGCTCCAGATCCTTGCTTTGGGGCTTCTTCTGTTGAATGGCGGGGGGGGGGGGGGGGTCCTGAAGGAATTACTGTCTCAGGAGTCAGAGCAATGAACCCCCAAACTACCACCAAACCCTCCCCTGAGAACTGTGGTCAAGAGTGGCCTAGGGCCTCACTCCTGCAGACAGGTGCTTTCTTAGACAAGAGCTCTCAACCCTCACAATGGACTTCACTGAATAAATCCTTAGTCTTTCAGCCTCAGTTTGCCCAATACCAAAGACCAGTAGCAGACAGATCCCTGCCTATCTTAGGACCCTTCACAACAAATGGTACTCCCTTCATCCAGTTCTGGGGATCTCAGAAGTCTTCATTTTTGACTCTGAACCATGCACCCTGCTAAACTGGGTGTGCATGGGTGATGCCGGAGGGAAGAGCTAGGGACAGGCAGAACACGCCTTCCCTGTGGCATGTTGTCTGCCCAATGCTAGGGGAGCGGCCCCAGAACAGCCAGGGGCACCACGCCAAGGTCAGTGACCAGGCCTAGAGCTCAGGGCCTCCTGGGAGGGTAAGTTTAAATGAGTAAATATGGTCCCGCCTGGGTGTGGTTTGCCACAGGCCAGAGCTTGGGGCAGGTCACTCCCTCCAGTACCCTTACACAGAAGGGGCTGTCGGTCACAGTCAGCCCCCTCAATCCAGGCCACACTAGCAGTCCTGCCTAATTCTGCCAGGGACACCCGGAGTAGGGGTGGCACGTGAGCTGGGCCTCCACAAAGGAAAGGTGGATCTGGAGAGCTTCGGGGACCTCCTAGACCAAGGATTTGTCCCCAGATGCAGCCCGGTAGCCTCATTCATGGGAGATGGGGACAAAGACCAGCATGGACCATCCATCAGACACACAGGTGCCTCTGCCACCAAAAGGGAGGCCCCTGCACACCTGGAGGGCTGAGGCTGAGCGGGGAGAGGGGCAACTTACCCAAGGCTCAGGCCAGGGTGGGGGGCAGAGGCTAGCCAGGGGAGGGTGGAAGTCAGCCAGTGCTCCCTGACTCACAAAGCATGCTCTCCACAGACAGGCCCTGCCTGCCCATCTGTGCTCTGACCTCAACCCTGCTCCAGCCCAGGCTCTCTGGGTCCTGTGCGCGTTCGTTCGCCTTCCTGCCTGGCCTCCAGTCCCTCCCTCACCACCCCCCACTCTCCAATCCTTTAATCATCTTTACCACTGCTGCCCCCACCCCCGCAGCACAACAGCTGCTCTGTGGGTGTCACACCCCCAAGGGTGCGCTGTACACCTTCCCGCGTGTCCCGTGACCTGCTGCAGGCTGCCAGGTGCAGCGGGGCCTGCAGGGGACCCCCGGCCTGCTCTCTGGGGAAAGGGCTCGGAGGCCAGGCTTCCCACAGCTCCAGGACAGCTCCTCAGAATATGTTTTGTCCTCGGCAGGGAGAGATGAGAAAATATTCTAGGAGCCAAACTGCACCAGCCCCACTGGGCCAAAGGTCAGAGCCTTTTTAGCAGAGTCACTGGAGAATGCCTGAGAGTCCCCTCTTTCCCCTGGCCAAGTTAAGAGCCATCTTTCCCCCAACCTAGCTTCACAGGGAAGTTCTTTCTGATATCCAAGCTCTATCCAGCCTTAACTGTGTAGAGGGCAATGTCAGCCACAACACAGCCAGATGTCCGCTTCTATAACACGGCTCCTAGCAGCTAATGCCACCTCTCCCCCATGAGTAAGTCACCAAACTGGGACGGAAGGACAGAGAGGGTTGGCTGGACTCTGGCCCCATGACGACCTCGTAAAAGCCACCAGTGATTGCTGGTGCGGAGGCCGTGCGGCATGCGACCATCCCTCCTTCCCGCTTCCCTGTGAAGGAGATCATTTTCTCAGGCCAGCTGGCTTCAGAGAGCCTACAAATCCCAGGCGTGGTCCCCAGGGGTGGGAAGAGCCCACCACCACAGAGTCTCAGCCCTACGTCTGGCCCTTGCCAATGGGCTCTCAGGGAACTGTCTATGGGACTCACAGTGTCCCCCTTGCCTGCAGCTCTTCTGTGGGCCGTGTACACTGTCTGGGCGGGGGTGGGGTGGGGGCAGAGAAGTGGACACAACAGAGAAAAGCCAGCCTACCCACTCAACCCCAGTGTGGGTGGCAAATTGTCCAACAAGGACCGGGGCCAGGCCGGGGGGCTCAGTTGGCAAGGAAGACAGAGCTGGGAAGATGGGCAGAGGTCCAGGCCAAGGACACGAGAGCAAAGGATGCTGCGGCAGAGGCCTCCTTCCTGAGCAGGGTCAGAGTGGGGGGCTCAGGGAGCCTAGCCCCATGCCCTGGGCCCAGCTCCCAACTCGGGAGATCTCCTCTACCTTCCCCACCCTACCACCCAGGAAGACCAGGAGAAGAGAGAGAAAAAAACCTGCTGGAGAGAGATTATATAACGGCAGCCAGCCAGCCTGTCACATCGCCCAGCCTATTAGCACTAGGAGCCAGAGGGCCGGAGCAGGGTCCTCCAGCCCAGTGTCACCACACGGAGGGGGATGGGCAACCTGCACCTGCCTCCTGTCCAAGTCCCCCACACTCTGTTCCAGGCCCTGGGCTTTTAGCAGAGGCAGCACCTGCCCTGTGCCCATCCCCCCCACACAAGGCTTCCCATACTTTCTGACTGGGTCCTGCTGCTTCTGTAGGCCAATGGCTGCAAGAGCAAGGCATGTATGTCTTCGTTCTTAATCTCAAGAGTCTCTCCCTGCATGAAATCTGTGGCGGAAAGAGGGGGACACTAACCTCTGATACAGATTTGCTGTGTGATCTCAGGTGAAATGCTTGACCACTCTGGTAGGTATGGGAATGAATGAAGGGAAGGCTCCTGCCTTCCAAGTGACTCTTCTTACAAAAGTACATGCAGCAAGCACACACAGCAAACGTGTGAAGGGCACAGGAATCACAACAAAGAATAGGACTACTGAGATGCCAAGGTCCCAGCGTCCGTTTCTGGGGTAAATGGGAAAAAGTGCTCTACAGAAGCTCCTGTATTTCCCCAACCACCCCACATAACAAGGTTCTCAGCCACTCCCACAATCATCCCACCCCACCCCCATCCTGGAAGACGCAGGAAGGAAATTCATTCACAGGCAAGGCCATGGGAGCCGGGACAGCCAGGCTGAGCAGTGGGGCTTGGTGGCCGGTGGCCAGAGGCCAGAAGCTGGGTGTCTGGGAACACTGACAGGTACCTCGTCAACGCTCCCCTCCGCGGATACCTCCGCGAGCTCTGGGAGGGGAGCAGAAGGTGGACAGCTCCCAAGGCCAAGTGCACTCAGTAGGCTCCCCTCCGAGATCCGGCCAGAGCAGCCCAAGGTCACCGTCCCAGACGGCAAACTTCCCACAGTCAGGCAGGCAGGCAGCTCAGACCCACCGAGGGCCAGGGGGAGGGGGGAGATCGGCCACTCACTCAGCCAAAGCAGCTAGGCCTCGGAGGGAAACTCACACGGGGGAGGGCAGGGTACCGGATCCACCCACCGTACTCCCCTCGCCCGGCCCTGATGCGCCGGTCAGTCTCAGGCAGAGCTGGCACTCGGGACAAGCTGGGTAGCCCAGGGCCACTGGAAACCCCAAGGGCTCGGTGGAATCTCTAGGAGGCCTCGCTGCCCCCTCTCTGCCATGGGAGGCCGGGAGCATCGCAGTCCCTTGGGCCAGCCTCACCACTCGAACCCTACTCGCACCAGCTCGGCCAGCACCGGCCACGGGAGGCTCCCCCACCCCCCGCCCCGAGAGGTCCTGTCCGATGCGAGCAGCGGCAAACTCCTGGCCAGGGGGCTCTCCAGCGAGCGTCGCTGACACACCCGACCCGGGGGCCCCACGGGTACGAGATCGCGGCCGGAGCCACGTGCGTTGCGCCCGCCGGAGCGCGGGGCGGCGGGGGCTCGGGTGCCAGGCG